AATTTTTTACTTAATAAAAAGGCTGCCGTATTTTATTACATATGTAAAGAATATGTTATGATGTTTTAGCTAAAATCATAATCATAAATAAAAGAACAAGTTTCTGGCTATTTTAAATATTATTTAAGGATATTTAATAACTTTAACATGACTCACACCATCAATATCCCAGGCGATGTAAATATGATTGGTCAAACAAAATATTTTAATGTTTAGAGTAATAGTAAGTCATAATTTTTATTTAAAAAAAAGATCAATCTAGTTACACAACTGCCAACTTTAATTAGAAAAACAATGCAGTTAATTATAAGATAATCTTTTGGATCTTAAAATAAATAATTTTTTATTTTATAAATAAGCAACGTTTTTCTTTAAAAATGGATTTTTTTTTAAAAAAATTATTTCTCAAGAAAAAAAAAACAACCACAATACAAATAATAAAAATACAATAAAATGGCAACAACTAACGGTCATAGCGATGAAAATAAGACTTTACACACAAATAGTAATGGTAATAACCACAATCACATCATCAGCAATAACAACGCAATAACTAATCCATATACACCAAGATATGCTGATTTATTAAGTAGAGTTAGTAATTTTTCCATTATCGAATCAACCCTTAGAGGTTAGTTTTAGTTATTATTATTATTAACATTAATATTGTTATTATTGTTATCATTGTTATTAACATTAATATTAATAATCATTTTATTTAGAGGGGGAACAATTTGCGAATGCATTTTTTGATACAGCGAAAAAAATAGAAATCGCTAAATCATTAGATACATTTGGAGTAGAATATATCGAATTAACATCACCGGCTGCATCTGAACAATCAAGACAAGATTGTCAAGAAATTTGTAATTTAGGATTGAAGGCAAAAATATTAACTCATATACGGTGTCATATGGATGATGCTAAAATTGCTGTTGAAACAGGTAAACCAATTATTAAAAATTTATTATAAAAACATGCAAATCATTAATTAAATTATCTTTTATAAAAAGGCGTTGATGGAGTTGATGTGGTAATTGGTACTTCGTCATATCTAAGAGAATTTAGTCATGGCAAAGATATGGATTATATTACAGAGAAGGCAACTGAGGTGATACAATTTGTTAAATCCAAAGGAATTGAAGTTAGATTTTCATCAGAAGATTCATTTCGTAGCGATCTAGTAGATTTATTGAGTATTTATCGAGCAGTGGATAAATTGGGTGTTAATAGAGTCGGCATAGCTGATACAGTTGGCTGTGCAAATCCAAGACAAGTGTATGAATTAGTTAGAACTCTCAGAGGTGTTGTTTCTTGTGATATAGAATGCCACTTTCATAATGACACTGGATGTGCTATTGCTAATGCTTATGCTGGTAATTAAAGAAAAAAGACATTATAGTTGTAATAAAAATTATATCAGTTATTTGATTTATCACATAATTTAACATTTTTTATTTTTTTTTCTTCTTTCCCAAAAATTCATTTGATCAATAGCACTTGAAGCAGGAGCAACGCATATCGACACATCAGTTTTGGGTATAGGAGAACGTAATGGTATAACACCACTTGGAGGCTTGATTGCAAGAATGTATACAGCAAACAAAGATTATATTAAATCCAAATATAAATTACACATGTTAAGAGATTTAGAAAATTTGGTAGCAGATTCGGTCGGTGTGGAGGTTCCATTTAACAATTACATTACTGGTTATTGTGCTTTTACTCATAAAGCTGGTATACATGCTAAAGCTATATTAAATAATCCAAGTACTTATGAGATTTTGAAACCTGAAGATTTTGGGTACGTTATTATAAAGTCATGCAATTTATTATTAAATAAATATGTTTATATATATTTATTATTTTTTCTAAAAAAATGAATTATTATTATATATAGTATGACTAGATATGTATCAATTGGACATCGGTTAACCGGTTGGAATGCAGTTAAGAATCGTGTTGAACAATTGGATTTAACCTTAACAGATGAACAAGTTAAAAAGGTTACAACTAAAATTAAGGAATTGGCCGATATTAGACCTCAAAGTATGGAAGATGTAGATAATTTATTAAGGAATTATCATCATATCGTAACTTCTGGTGATCAATCTAAAGTAGATATTTTCTTATCAGCTACTCAGTTGTCAATTAATTGATTTTTTTTTGTGAGAGAAAAAGAGAATGGTGGATATACTGAGATTCAGAGTGAAAAAATAACAGAGAAAGTTTTAAATTTTTGGTTTTTTGTTCTTTTTTTCTCATTTTGTATATATAATATTCAATGGAAACTTTTTCATTTAATAATAATAATAAATTCTTTATTTGCCCTTCCTTACAAATTGCTTTTCGTTTATTTTTCTTTAATACTAAAGAAAAATTATAAATAAATAATGAAAAATTTTTACCCGCCGCGTCTTAACTTGACGAAATCTTGTTCCAGTAAAATATATTGTTGTTGCATCTCCATGATACAATCTTTAATCATCATCATTCGGCGAGAAATTCTTAAACTTAAAGGATCATTATCGTTATTATTGTTATTAATAAAGTTAGATGAATTAAAGTGATCACCATTATAAATTGTAGCCGAAGATGTGGTTGGATATTGTGTAACATAAAGTGTTTGCTGTTGTAATAAATTATTATTGTTGCTGTCATTTGGATTATGCTGCCCAATAAAAGTTGCCTCGTGATTAGTTGGTTGGAATTGTTGTAGACTATGTTGTTGTTGATCGTAATTATGAATTGGTTGAAGAACTTGGTTGGGATCAGGAATTAATTGAAATTGTTGATTATCATCTTCTTGACTTTGTTGTTGCCGACTAGCCATTTTTTTATAATTATAAATTTTTATAAATTAATATTTTATTTTTATAATTTTATTTTTTTTTAAAAAAAAAAAAGGAAAAATAAAGAAAACTTTCATACTATATATAGTTGTTATTTGTGGATTGTTCAACGAAATGAAAAAATAAGTTTGCAAGTTTAGTTTTACAAACAGGTTTCTATTTTATCCTATTTAAGAACTGACTCCAAATTGATTGCAGTCAGGATTATTACCAAATTTGGAAATCGAATCTAGAAAAATTGGAACTCCTTTGTCGATCAATTCATATG